ATGTTTGTTGCTGTCTTGTAATATGTTGACGGTTATGACAAGGGAGGCATTACGAACTGCTTGGCTGGGTGCTTCTGTCTAGCATGCAGACCAGGTATGGCAGCATTCTTATTGTATTGTCTTTGTATGGAGCTTTGAGAATGGATGACGCCTTCAATGTGTGTTTAATCTGAGGGCAGTTTCCGTGCATAATTGATATAGTTCTACAAAGTTGCCTGAGAGTTTAGGTTTGAAAGCCTCTCAGCCTAAGCTTTAAAACAGATATGAACATCTGAGGCCTAATTTAATTATTAAAGCTGATTTGTGAAAAGGGCTGGAAAATGTTTATCTCTTGTTGGGTTCTCTATGACCAACCTTTCTTTGGGACTCTTTACCATTATCATCCCAAATACATTCAGTGTTGTATGTATGAATTTGTATGTATAAATACACATATATGCACACGTAAAGGTATAGAGATTTTTGTGAAATCTATATAAGGTTTTGGCAGGAAGAGTTTTTTTTTTTAAAAAAAGATGTAAAATTTGTACAGATGTGGAGTAATCCTCGCATGTTCCCAGTTCTAGAAATAAACTTCCTGCAATTATTTATGTATCACCTGTCTTTCCTGGATATTAAGGATTTGCAAGATTATATTCAAAATTGTGGGTATTATCCGCCTGTGTAAAAGTTTTCTGAAGCCTAGCATTTTTTACATTTTCTCATTTAACTCCTGATGAGCTCATGTTTAATCAGGTCCAAACTGTCTAATTATATGGTTTCAAATGTTCAGTTTGAACTCTTAGGCATTGTAATGGTATCACCATCCCTAAAAGAAACCTGATAAACTTACTGTCATTGAGTAAAGGCTTTGAGTTCAAGTCAAATGAGTGTTCTTGTAAATGGGACAGTTTTATCATGTAAGGAATGGGAAAGTTTCTATTTTTATTTGGTAGGATTTTGAGATAAAGTTGTTCTTTTCATTGCTACATCTTTTGTTTTTATTTCCTATGCCTTTAGAGATAAACTATATATACATTTCTTCGTTTTCAAATCCCTACAACCTCTATTTTTTCTTTCCGTTTCTACAAAGTCTATTTAAATTTTCAGAATTTTGAAATATCAAACGGCAGTTAGTGTCTTCGAAAGATATACTAGCTTGCTCCAAATTGGGCAAAAATTAAACTTCATATTCTGTGATGCTGACTTTTCAAATAATTTATCACCCTGAAAAATAGGTTCAGGTATATATTGTTACCAAGAGGCCTGGTGTAGTAGCTTGTTCTTGAATCCTTCCTTATGTTTTTCTCATGTTACTAAAATGCAGGACCATTAGTATAATGTTTCCTAATAACTTTTACCCAGTTTTGAGTGTGAGTGATTAAGCAGGCAGAATAAATAACTGTTTCTCATTTTTTTCTGACATTTTGCCTTTCTGTTGCCTTTCACAATTATCTCATTTTTCAGCAAGACTGGCTCTCTTCACATTTTGTCTGACAGTTTTCTTAATTTGATTATGAATGTATAACTTCATATATTTTTATTCTTTGCTTATTACAGTTCCCTAGTCAGTGCTTAGTATGAATATGATAAACAGTAATGACAGCTTCAACAAACATATGAAAAAAATAACTAGGGCAAAGCAGCATTTGCATGAAGAATTCCAAAACCATCTCTAATAATATTATAGAGTAAAAATTATGTGCTGAATAAAAGTCTTAAAAGAAATGCCTGTAAATTCTACAGGAAGGTCACAAGCTTTGCAAGAAAAAAAAATCTGGTTTTAATAACTTTCAAATCAGACTTTGAAGAAAGCAATCAGAATAGGTATCTTGAACTAATAGCCACACTTACCCAACCTTGGCTGCTTGCAGAAAACTAAGCAGGATTGGATCAGTACTTTGAATTAGAGACCACCAGGAATGTCAGGGCAGTGGGACAGACTGGGAAGTTGACAAAACATAAGAAGGCAGTGGCAAACTGTTTCTATATTCTTGCTGCGAAAACTACACAGAGATGTCAATGAATTCACCAGGAGTTAACAGTGACTCAAGGGGTTTACCATATACCATACCACATCCCCGAGAGTAGTGGAGTATGGGAGCTTCCTCTGGATTGTAATGATCAGCCCCACTATGTAGACCAAGCCAAGAAATCAACTCCATAGGAAGGCTAAAACTACTTTTATTAATATGGGTGATAGTAAGAGAACCTTGCAAGTTTGACTGTGCTTTACTCCCCTTTCCCCCTTATACTCGTGAATTAGGGAGGTGCCTACCTGAGTCATTTGCACATGCTTCTTCTTGTTTCAGACTTAAGCTTAATGTTTTTCCCCTTGTCACTTTGGTAATGGATCTGGCCTATTTCTGTCATGGTCATCTTCCTTACTCTCTACAGTAACTGAATGTTTCTGCTGGTAAAAAGAAAACGGGGAGGGAACACTGTGTATTCTCAACATGAAAGCCAAATTCATTTTGTAGGGATGCATTTTTATAGCGTAAGCTTATATTTATTGCTGTGTTACTACTGATAATACACACAGACACACATCTTCTCTGTAAAGAGATGTATTGAAAAAGGTAAATTGATGTCACTGTGGTACTTCAGAACTGCAATTTGTTGTTAAAGTTGTATTTAAAAATAGTTCCCTGTTTTCTGCTGTGAAACAACTGGCAATATATATATAGATCATATTTAGCCAATGTACTGGAGAAATCAAGTGAATTATCTTGTTAGATTTGGCTGAAAAATGAAATTGGAAAACTACTAGTATTTGTATTCCATTTGTATTTGCACCTTGATCCACTCAGGCTGCACAAATTAGCATAAGTAGATTTGCTGATTCTAAAGATTGTAGATGAGTTGCCAGTATGACACAATAGTCTACCTTGGCTTTGCTACTCTATTTATAACTTAAAATTGAAAATTTAGTGTGAAATGCCCAAAGTTATTTGATCCCATTTGGGAAATCTAGGCTGGAAGATCAGCTGCTTGGCTGTGGTGAAGAATTCACTCATCATCCTTAAATTTGCTAGGAGTTGGATGCAAGCTGGGCAAGTCCAGCTGAGGTGACAGTGGGCCTGTCTTGTGAAATAATCTTGGATTGGTTTGAGCCTGTGGATTCTGAGGAAATGGACAGGGTGCTCTGTGCTGTAGCTCTGCCACCTGTGGCTTAGGATCCTGCCCTACCTGGCTAGTGAAAGTGGTATGGGCAGTTATAAGTGCATCCTTAAGTAAGCCATTCTTGCTTCCTGCCTTCCACCTAAGAAGTGGTAGTGTGACCCCTTCTGAAAAAGCCATAGCTTATCTCAGCTATCATGGATAATTATCAACCTTCTCCTGTTGAGATGGTAACAGGGTTATAGTTATAAAGAACCCTGGAGGAAATGGATGATCTGGATCCTTGGCAGTTGGGATGCAGGCCTGTATAACATTGGTTGCTCTTGTTGAAGACTTTTGGTGGAACCAGGATAGGAGGGGTACAATCAAGGTCCTGCTTGGTCTCTTAGTTGCCTTCAATACCATTGTACAGGGCATCCTTCTGGGCCAGCTGTGAGGGTTGAAAGTGAAGGGTACTGTTTTGCAGTGAGCTTTATTTCCTGAATGGCTAATCTCAGTGAGTGAGGGGAAAGAGGTTGTATCTGTGAGCACTGCATTGCCATAGGTCTAAGCCCTTTTCCTCTCTGCTACATGAAGTTCCTGGAAGAGATCATTCATTGGCATGGGGTGGAAGATACTTAGGTCTGTATCTGTTGTATCAAGCGCTGATAGCTTCCCTATGTGAACTGCAGCAAGTGTAGTGCAAAACAAGTGGATACTGCAACAAAACAGGAAAAATGCTAGGAACAATTACAACAACTCAGCTCTATACCTCCACCCTGCACTGGGCAGGAAATGCAGTGGAAATTCACACAGGGATTCACACAGGGTCTGGATGTGGAAAAACAGGCTTAGGTTGAATCCCAGCAAGATAGAGTAGCTATGGATTAGAAAGCTGACTGAGTCAATTATTAGCTCTGGGTGGGATTGTATTCCCCTGGTTTGAGCTGGTGTACAATTTGGGACTCCCTGTCTGTCAAAAGAATGTCATCTATAGACACTCCATTGTCAAGCCTTTTCCGTGATGGCTCCCTCTTACTTATTTACTTACTTACTCCCAAAGACTCAGAGCCATGCCTCTAGTTTCTTCCAAGGAGCTGTGAAAACATGGCTCTTCAGGAGAGCATCTGGGGACAAATGGGTTTCATTCTACCTTGAACAGTGCTACATTAAATTGTTGGCTGTGTCTTTGTAGTTCTGTTCTGTTTTTAACCCTTTCCTGTGCTGATTACTATCATTACTCAGAATCTTTGGGAATTGAATGGCATAGAACCAAAGTAAATAAGTTACAACCTCACATTGCTCTTCATTAAAAAAAAATTATAATCTGATCTCCTCATTAATGTAATCAATGAATTACAATTTCACACATGATATGACTACATTTAATGAAAAAGTGGTTATACCTGCCATTTCTGCAAATGCCTTTTTCAAATGTAATTTATTAATTGGTCTTAAGGGTAGAAAAATAAAAAGAAAAGACCCAAACTTTACCACATTTGTTTTAAAGCCACATCATTAAAACTAATCTCATAAAGGCTTCTTTTTTGTTCTGGATTATAATTTGGAGTAATTGAATTTGGAATTCCCAGTTAAATAATTTTTAAAAATTAATGGTGACATAAAAAGAGAAATTTTGGGGGAAACTTATCTAAGTTATGTTTTATGTTTTCACGTTGGCATACTATATACATGTATTCCTGATTCCTGATCTTTTCTATTTTATAAATAGATCTATTTCTTTGAGTGGCTGATTCACATTTTTTGCATGTGTTTTACAAAAACAAGCTAGCATGGTACAAACAAAAAATAATTAATTTTTCCTTAATGTTGCATAGATGGGGGAAAACATACTTGAGATTAATTCACTGTATCATTTGAAGAAAATAATTTAACAGTTTATCTGACTTCTTTATTTTTAGGAGCTTTTGTCTACGGACCTCAGTGCAAGTCCATTGGAAAAAACAGTTGCAACAATTTGATAATCGCCAGCAGTCCAATGGTGGTTCAGAGACTGGGACCTCTGTCTCCTTCTGCTCAGCAGGTCTCAACAGCATGCAACCAAATCAGCCCTAGTTTACAGAGGGCTATGAATATGACAAATCCAGATATTCCATCTGATACAAGGTCTTGCATTCTGTTTCTTCTTTCTTCAATAATATAGCAACGGTTATCATATCTGCACCATCAGAACAGTATTTTGCACCATTCAGTTCTGAATTATCTTTCCTGGTGCATACCACTTAACAAGAGACATTGCCACTGACCATCATACTTGCAGCATTTTGAATTTATCACCAGCAGTTTTATACATGTCAGTGATTCCTCTGAGTTTACTTCCAGGATATTGGAATTATGTGTTACAGTAATGTTAGTGAGCTTTAAATAACTTGAAGAAAAACTTTAAATAAACTTTAGCAAATATATATGGGATACTAATAGTTAAATTTATTTTGGTCAGTAACCTGATTAATTTATCATTAAATGTTATCTAATATATAGGGCAGTGATGTCTAATTTCTTATGGCAAAGAACTATAGTTAATGTTCTTTCAAAAGCTGATGTGTAATGAATGAATCTGTAATACAAAACTGGCAGAGTTTTAAACTTCTTTCATATTTTATGGGGAAGATAGATGATGATGATGATGATGACGACAGTGGAAATTAGTAAGCAATAGACAAAGAGGAAACTGCAGAGAAAGGTCTGAAGGATTGGTCTTTCATGAAGGCCTTGTGATCCTCAGAAGAAGCTTCTGAGATGTACACAGGACTTCTAGTGTGGTGAAAGGCTAATTCTTTTTTGCAGAAATTCTTATGGTGGTATAGCACTGGACATGTCACAGCTTTGTTAGTGCTCATTTGAATATGCAAAGATCAATATTTAAAGTTTTAATTTTAATTATCAAAAATAAATAACTGAGCTTTGTATGCCAACTGCTCCATATAATTACCAAAATCTGGAATTAAATTACTAAGATTACATTGTTCTTTCATTTCTTGCTTTACTACAGATCTCTTATATCACGTGAATCTTTGGCATCCACAACCCTGAGTCTGTCAGAAAGCCAGTCAATACAGAGTGTCAAACAAGAGTGGTTTCATGGTTATAGAATTTATCCTTCTCTTCCATCCAATCAGGGTTCACAAAATAGCAATGAATTAGGTGATGTCACAAATGCTACATCTGGGATATCCATGTCCAACAACTTTTCTACTTCATTGCCATCTTACTTGTTCAGTGTGGAAAACAACCATCCGCCTTATTCTAGTCCTCACCATTCCTCAGCCAGATCTCATTCAGCAAAAAAAAGGGCGCTGTCCCTGTCCCCTTTGTCTGATGGCATTGGGATTGACTTCAACACAATTATCCGTACATCCCCTACTTCTCTAGTTGCATATATAAATGGTTCAAGAACATCTCCATGCAACATCTCTCCTCAACCTGAAGTTTATGGGCATTTCTTAGGAATAAAGGGAAGTTGCATTCCCCAGACTTGCTCTATACCTAATCCTCACAAAAGGCTTCTTATGGCTAATTGCAATGCTACACCTCCAGACTACAGTGAAAATGGAAATGGTGAATATCAGCGCATGCAACAGTTGGAGCAAAACAACCTACAGCCATTGGTCACAAATAATATGATGGTTCAGCAAAGTACATGTCTAGCAGAGAGCCAACCTGTGGGAGTTGTGAAGGGTGGACATGGGGATATTTTTTCTGGAAACACAAATGGCATACCCTCTGCTTCTCCACTGGCTCCCCTTGTTCTTCCTCCTCCACATGGTCCACCACCCCCCTATCATGCACATCAGCATGCACTCATAAATCATTCCCGTCCACTTTCCTTGCCTCCATCTATCCAGAACTGTTTTTTAGATGAAGACAGTGAACTCGATGATTTCAGTGGCAAGCACTGCTGTCGTTGGATAGATTGCAGTGCTACCTACGATCAGCAAGAAGAACTTGTGCGACATATAGAAAAAATTCACATAGACCAGAGGAAAGGGGAAGATTTCACTTGTTTCTGGGCTGGGTGCCCTCGAAGATACAAACCATTTAATGCCCGTTACAAATTGCTTATCCATATGAGAGTGCATTCAGGGGAGAAGCCAAACAAATGTACGGTAAGTCTAAAATGGTGTTTATCACATGCAAAAGATCCAGGAATCTACTTTTCAGTGCTGTGCTGGTGTTTTCTTAGTAAAACATCTCGATAAAAAGGGAAATGAGGTTTGTTTATATTAATTAAGGAAAAGGAATGAATGGATGGAAATGTCAGGTGCATGGATAGGGAGGAACATGTTTTAACTTGAGCTATTGGAGCATAGTAAAGCAAATAATTCATCTTTTGGTTATGATTGCTTTGGTTCAGATCCTGAAAATTGGTTCTGGTTTTAAAAATTCCTCAGTGAAATAGGTGAATTAGAAAAAAAAATGGCCTGATTGTTTTGGGAGGTGGGGGGAGAAGTGTCAGGTTCTTTTTCTTTTTTAAAGGTATGTAACTTATCCTTAACCCCACATTGCCCTAAAATGGAACCAAATCAGTCACCGCTGCCTGCTCTGGTGAGGTTTGGCCTACTAGATGGGGTACTAGGGTTGCAAATTATGGGTTGTTCATCTCTGATATAAAGCCTTTGAATATATGTAAACTCTCTTCAGATCTTCTAATAAATAGGAGATGACTGGAGTAAAAGCTTTTTGTCATGAGGAAGATTACGGAGTGTGTGGTGAATTATATTTCTGGGTGCTCTAAAGGGCAGCAAATAGCCAGTTATTAAATATATTACTTTTTTTTTTTATTTGCTCTCAAGCACCAAAGTGTTTTGGATTTTTTTGGTTTGAAAATAGATAAGATTACATTTTAACTGTCTGTCTACAAAGGAATTTCTGATCAAAGTAGCTCACAATGTAAAAATAGAATATAGTAATACATAAAATATTTTAAAAATCATACTAGATATTTTGAAATATACTTCCTTTGCCTTTTCTAGCTCACTTGGATGGGAATTATAGTCTAGCGCATATAGAAGGTACCAAATGAGAAGTCTGTTCTAGATATATTTGAAGATCTCTGTTCACATTTTCATAAACAGCAGTATATTGTTTAACTACCCTCTTTATTTTAATGTAGGAGAATGATCTTAAAATATTTAGTTGCTATCAGTATATTTTTTAAACATGGATTATTTTTTAAATGTTGTGGCTGATTGCTTTTGTATATTGACATAATAAACTAATTTCCAGTGCTTTATAAAGTCTAATACCATTATCCATTGAATAACGTCTTCATAATATTACTGAGGGTACTGAATGATAACTTACAGTTCTGAGATAATATAAATTGAATTAATGATAAAATTAAATGCCCCAAGATGTCCCAAGATACAAAACATATATTATTGTTGCAAACTGTACATTCAGTGTTGCTAATTCAGTTAAATATACTTAGTAGTGCTGAACAAGCAAATGTTTTTATTATATTATTGAGTTTATCATTTACCATAAAATGAGTCTTCAAAGAATGAGGCTCTTATTGCACAATCACCCTGCTTCAGACAAGGCGTTTGTGTGGGACGGGGAGAGATGTAAACAACTTCCATGTATAATTATCCTGTGTTTTTCCTTCACTTCCAGGAAAAAGGAAGAGCAGGAATACATACACAATTCCTTTTGATCAATAGTTGCATGTTCTTCATAAGATGGCCTCATACTTTCTCTTAAACAACAATCACTGAGTTTATTTAAATAAAAGAAGTATATAAATGGATTAAACTCCATAGTCTGTTTTTCCTCATGGAAGATATTACTCTCCAGCTAATTATTTTTATTCTTTTGAGTTTTTGGACTTTTCCTTCCTGCATAATATGCTCTTCCTTTCCCTGTTTCCTTCCTGCTCTTCCTTTCCCTGTTTACTGATTAGAATCACATTGGCTGGAACCTCCTATACAGTGGGGCAAAAAAGTATTTAGTCAGCCACCAATTGTGCAAGTTCTCCCACTTAAAAAGATGAGAGAGGACTGTAATTTTCATCATAGGTATACCTCAACTATGAGAGACAAAAAGGGGGGGGAAATCCAGAAAATCACAGTGTCTGATTTTTAAAGAATTTATTTGCAAATCATGGTGGAAAATAAGTATTTGGTCAATATGGAACCTCCTATACAGTGGGGCAAAAAAGTATTTAGTCAGCCACCAATTGTGCAAGTTCTCCCACTTAAAAAGATGAGAGAGGACTGTAATTTTCATCATAGGTATACCTCAACTATGAGAGACAAAAAGGGGGGGGAAATCCAGAAAATCACAGTGTCTGATTTTTAAAGAATTTATTTGCAAATCATGGTGGAAAATAAGTATTTGGTCAATATCAAAAGTTCATCTCAATACTTTGTTATATATCCTTTGTTGGCAATGACAGAGGTCAAACGTTTTCTGTAAGTCTTCACAAGGTTTTCACACACTGTTGCTGGTATTTTGGCCCATTCCTCCATGCAGATCTCCTCTAGAGCAGTGATGTTTTGGGGCTGTCGCTGGGCAACACGGACTTTCGTGGCATAATTCTGTAATCCAAAGCGTGGCATAATTCTGTAATCCAAAGCGTGGCATAATTCTGTAATCCAAAGCGTGGCATAATTCTGTAATCCAAAGCGTGGCATAATTCTGTAATCCAAAGCGTGGCATAATTCTGTAATCCAAAGCGTGGCATAATTCTGTAATCCAAAGCGTGGCATAATTCTGTAATCCAAAGCGCAAATAAATTCTTTAAAAATCAGACACTGTGATTTTCTGGATTTCCCCCCCCTTTTTGTCTCTCATAGTTGAGGTATACCTATGATGAAAATTACAGTCCTCTCTCATCTTTTTAAGTGGGAGAACGTGCACAATTGGTAGCTGACTAAATACTTTTTTGCCCCACTATATTTACTTATTGCAAGACGAGAAGAATAATGCTAAGTGCCAAGAGAATTTAATAAGAAATAAGAAAAAAACTCTGGATTCTGTAACATTGTTTTAAAATTCAGTGGCATAATTCTGTAATCCAAAGCCTCTCTTTACCATATTTTCATCCTTGATTATGACTTCATTATCCTAGGTGTTGATTGAAGTACAGATAGTCATTGGCTTACATCCATTCGTTCAGCAAACTGTATAATTGCAATGTCACAGTGACCTGTGGTCACATGATGGCTATTTGTGACCTTCCCTGCTGGCTTCCCAGAAGCAAAGTCAATGGGGAAGCTGGCAGGGAAGGTTACAAGTTGCTTCAATAAGTCGCTCCCTGCTGCTTTTTCTCCCACCCGCAGCACCCTGCTGCTCATGTGCAGGCTCTGCCAGCCCTCCCAGTGCCTCCCTGGCCTCCTCTGATCTGCATGTGCCCTGCGCCGGTCTTCCCAAGGCCTCTCCAGACTTCCACTGGCCCTCCCAAGGCCTCCACCAGCCTCTCCAGACCTACATGCAGCCTCTGCCGGCCTCCCCAGCCTGCTCCTGGCTTCCCCAGATCCATGCACAGCCTCCCCCAGCCCCCTGTGGCACCCCTGCACTCCTTACATGGAACTCCCGCCTCTTCCCACTTAACAACCTGTGTGTCCTGGGGTTATGATGTCAATCTTTGTCACTAAACGATGCAGTCACCTGATGTCACACTTTACAACCACATCACTTAGCAGTGGTAATCCTGGTCCCAATTGCCATCATAACCCGAGGACTACCTTTAGTTCTAATAGATCTTATGCAGCCACCACCAGAAGAGTGACTAGCAGCAGAGCAATATAATAATAATGATGGATAACTTTTAGTATATTTTAGGAATATTTGCCTAAGGTATTAACATGCTATCTTTCATCTGTCAGTATTTTTTCATTTTTGAATTTATGAACGAGTGAGAATTCTGCAGTGTCTATTGACAGGATGATGTTTAGACTGAAGAGTAAGTGCAGATGGATAGTGATTTATTATTTATTTATTACTCATGCCGTCATTGTTTCTCTTACTTTCTCTCAGACATGCCAGAGAAAAGAGTGGTGACTGGTCAGCATGCAGACTGTCACTTGCCAATAGCTAGTTTAAGGATTAAAAGGTATATACAAAGTTGAATAATATGCAGATATTTTAGAGAATTATCTAAATTGTGAAAAGTTTACTAAGGGGAAAAAAACTATGTAGTGTCATAAAAAGAGCCACCTACATATAATAACAGAGCCAGTTTGGCGTGGTGGTTAAAGCACAAGGCTAGAGACCAGGAGACCAGGAGTTTTAGTCCTGCCTTAGGCACAAAGCCAGCTGGGTGACTTTTGGACCAGTCTCTCTCTCTCAACCCTAGGATGCAGGCAGTGGCAAATCACTTCCAAAAATCCTGCCATGAAAACTGCAAGGGCTAGTCCAGACAGTCACCAGGAGTCAACACCAACTCAAAGGCACAAAATAAATAAAATAAATATAATAAAGCAACCAAGATAATGGGAAAGAAATAACTACTGGCAACGTGTACTCCCTCTGATCTCTTGCCTTCATCTTTCACAGGTCATGTGATAAAGCTAAACCTTTTTGGCACCATTTTTGGGGAGTAAGTACCAGTACTAAACAAAGAACTGAATGCTCCCCAGAGTTAGGCTTGCTGCATTTACTTACAGGATTAAATCTCAAGCTTAAAAATAAGGAACTTATTCTCTATTTAATTTTAGCAGCTAAAATAATAATTGCCCAACATTGGAAAACTCTAGATAATGTAACAACTGATTAACAAGGCATTTTCAATGGCTACATTAGAAAAAAAATCATGAAGTTAAAATAATGAAACATCAGAGGCAGGAACCGCAGTTCTATCAAATTCAGATGGATTTTATAGTTTATCTCAATAGCAATTGACTATAATGTGGTCATACTTTATACATACGGTAAATGCTTATGTGCACAGTAACTCTCTCTTTACTGACTTTTTAGTGGATTTTCTGTATTTTCTTTACCTTTTTTCTCTATGCATCTTGGATTTATGTTATTTAGTTACTTGATAATGTTTGTTAATCATTGTTCAATAAAAATATTATCTCACATCTGGCACAGTCATTGCTAAAGTGCTGTTTTTAGTAGCAAGCACTTTGGGGGCAAAATAAAGCCACTTTTAGGCCAT